AAAATGGATGAACTGCTTTATTATTACACGAAGAATTTTCAAGACACTCTACATACTGTGCAGTACAAAGGGCATATTCCAACCATTACGGAGATAAGGGAGGAGGTGAGCGATTACCGACATTGGGGTAGATAAAGCTTTCTTTTACCGATGTGCTATATTATTATACGATATTTTTCATTTAGGTCTGTACTTAATTTGCACTTTGCTTTGCTTTAACTATGCCTTCATGGATGGGATTGACTTGAGCAAAATAGTCGAGTCTGAGGCGGCAAGACTTGCATTATTCGCGAATACGAAGATTCTGGATGAGTTGCGTTTACTGCTTCCGCGCCTCTTATATTTAGGCTATTTTGAGGAATAATACACTGAGCATATAATAAGGGATGTAATTTTTGTCATAGTAAAAATTAACTTTTATGAATAATAAATATGATTCTAAAGTTGTGTCGAGCTGTCGAGGAATATAGCACTTTAACTCTAACAAATTACTCTGAGTGCTTTGAAGATTGAGACATTCATTTAGCTAATCGATATACTGGTCGTATATTGGCCAGTAAGAAGGATCATGTCCCAGGCTTGTGGTTCACGATTAGAAAAATTTAAAGTATATTGACGCATGACATTTAGTAGTCCAATACGACTGCAGGATTGTTATTGTAGATATATTAGATTACCCTGTTTGGGGAGAATAATATGTAAGCTGTCATCGAAATCACTTAATGGTAGGCCCAGCAAACCAGCTGGAGAAAGATGTTAAGTGAGTTAGTTTCATTTTGCTTGTAAAAATGTGATTAGTGTCATATAGGGAATCGTAGGGCGCAGGATATAACTTTTGTATTGTGTGGTCAATTCTGAATAAGAAAGAGGTTAATATGTTACTGAACCCTGAACGAAGTTGCTCTCGGGTCACTCTTGATTCACGGCAATTGGATCTCTTGTTCTGCAAAGGGTGATGTTGGCCTCCAAGTACGGAGAAAGGCGGTTAGTGTATTGTTCGATTTCATTACCGTGTTAAAGTAATATTTTCCTGATGTTCCTGGGAGGCGGCTCCGCCTCTAAGAAGGGATGGTTTCCGCGGAAGTATTCGATAAGAAATTGCTTCGAGAGAAGATAAGAAACTGCTTCTTTACAGGAATCATGCGGTGCTCACTGTGTAAATGTTCGATGGAGGACACCCAGTTAAAGTCAGAAGTGCGGTGCTTTGACAGGTCTGTAGCCCATCATATTGGGGCGACGTAGTTGAAAACCAGCCGACCGATTGCTTAGTATGTTGCCAGCCAGGTCTCTAGGATTTGGCAGGGGAAAGTTTTAGGCTTATTGCAACGAAGAAGCGAGAAAGCGAAATAGGCGTTCACTTCACTTAAGTACATGCCATCAATTTTATTGCCCGACATCGTTATCATAAATCATCAATGTATGTGGTTATAGAAACTACTCTGGTGGTTGTGGGAGTTTCGAAATAAAGGGATTAAAGAGTAGACACCACCAACATACTCGAAATAGTACTGACGATTGACGACCGCTCATGTCGACTTCTTTAGTACTGTAGGGAGCGTTGCTTGTTCGTTGTCCTCTAGGACGTTTTCTAGTTAAGACCACGAGCTATATAGGCGTCTATGACGCTAAATTCTATGGGTTTATCTAGGCTAAGATGGTGAGTGAATGGCTGGTTTCTCTCGTTTTGTTAATCGAAGTTTACTCCCATCGAGCCTAGGTTTTTTATCATTAGCTTATTTATTCCGGCTGATGCCTTTGATTTGGTGATAGCACTCAGAAACTCTTCAACGGTGACATTTTGCGCAACTGTCGGATAACACATCTTGTCACCTTGTATACCGAATTGTGTAGTATAAATTGACGGTTAAAGTAGCTCGCGTACTTCTTCGGGTGCGAGAATGCACCACCGTTCTGGGGTTGGACAAGGACTTAACTTTATTTCAAACCATGCCAACTTCGTTGGAGGGAATGCATGGCTTCAGGTGAGCCACCGATTTCGTACGTTCATGCTGGTCTACCAGTTGTCGAATCTATAAATTCCTCCCTTTGGCAAAAGTGTCTCGTTGATTTCCTAAGACTGCTGTTTCAGCTGGAAAATTTTTTCGTATTTCACTATGTATTCCAACTGATATGAAGCGAGTAATAGTAGCTGCGATCACCTTTGAAATTGACGTTCGCCAAAGACGTAGAAATGGGTAGTGAGGTTTAGGAGCTCTAAGGGAATTCTTAGATGATCTGATGTGAGAGCTAGACTAGATCACCAGCTATTTATCAGATCGCCACTAGCGATTATTATACAGGTACCCATAATTCTAGTATGGGCTTCGTCGTTTATTGTGCAGAATGTCTATCTGTTCTGCCAGCTCCATTCACATACGGTGTGAGGAATGCCCAAGATCGTGGTGCGCATTAAAGTCGCCAAATATCAATTGGATCTCACCACTATGTACCACACCTATGTTCGGGTGGTGTGGGAATAGATAATGGTGGGCCATTATATATTAAGTACTTAGAGCTCAACATCACCTGACCGGATAGCTTTGATAGTCTAAAATTAAGGCTAGGTCACAACCCCTATCCCGCTCGCAATCTTTACTCAAGGCGTTGAAATCTGCACAGCTGAGAAGATCTGAGCGGCTGTTAAGCTTGATTTCTCGACGTTCATAAACTCAAGTATCTTTTCGATTTTGCTCGATAGTCCGCTGCAGTTCAATGGAAGAAATCACGTTTGCCGTGGCCACTTAGTTGTGATGAGGGAGTCATGTTGCCTAGTTGAACTCCGTTGGCCATCAGTTTCCTTGTTGGACTCTCTACTGGGCCAGGTTGGACCCACTTAAAATAAGGGTTAATTCCGATATCGTAGAACCGGTTTTTGTGCGAATTGTTTGGTTTGTGCATTCATATATTAATGAGCTCTTGATAACATACGGTAGGGTCGTGAAACTCTCGATACATGTTTTTAAGTTTTAGGGTTGCTATCAAATGGGAATAAAATACCAAGTAATGAATCTGTCACATCACTTATTAAAATATTTAACTGCGTTAATTTCTCTTAGAATCAAAATACGACTGCGAATGATTTGGTAGACGAGCTACGTTGACTCGTCAAAAAGCAATACTTTCAAGGTCGTCACAGCATGATAAACAAATATTTGGCTGGTTTAAATTTCATATGGATATATGAAAGCGATCTCGTAGTCAGCGCCAAATCGTATGCACACGCCTACCAATCGCAGCACATCTCCTAGTCAGGCCGAAAGGTCGGTATAAACGCTTGTTTTGACGGTCTTGGGATCTTTCAGCAATCGCTACTTCTCGCCCATCAACTCTGGTAGAGATTTGACAATGAATGGCTTATTTGATGTCCGTGTGGCGGCTGACAAAGCCAGCCAAAAGACAAAACGTTCCCTTAACTGTTACATTGTTTTAGTATTAGGTCGGGAAGTATCGGGTGATTTTTTTGAGGTTAGGATTTTCATGCATTAGTATTTGACAGATCACGTGGGATATCAGACATGGTGTCAAAGAGAAAGATGCTCAGTAT